GTTCTTTATATATCTAAGATAATAAAGAAGATTAGTAAGCTTCTCTTAAAGAGATACTATCTTCTAGGTAAAGTAAGGTAACTAATAATATTTTAGCTTAGATAGAGTATAAGAGGGTTAGCAATCGATTGCTCCGCGAATTAAGGTAGGTTTAGGTAGTGCAGGGAAATCGAGATAGTCTGCAGAACAGCAATATAGTACTAGAGAGCTAGGAGGAGCTATTGCACAGGCAGCAAGAGATAATTAGCTTATAGAACGATGCTATAGGGTTTATTAGATCTATATTCTGCAGCTACGATAGTATATAGATTAAGCGTTGCAGTGCTATTATAAGAGAGATATAGGACGCTATATTGCACTTAGCTATAAAGGTATAAGGAAGTTCTAGGATAAGATAAATTAAGAAAATTAACTAGCTACTATTTCTTTGTTTTAACTAATTTAGCAAGAACCTTATAAATTCTTAAAGCTAGGTCTTTAACCTTTATAGTTAGGTCTTTATATTTTAAGATAGCGAATTGCTAGAGCAAGTATACTAGAGGATAACGCTGTACTAATAAATAAACTATATTAACCTAAAGCTTAAATTAGATAGCTATGCTAGTTATTACTAATAAGAGGACCGCAACTAAACTAGCATAACCTATTAACCTAAAGAAACCTCGAGCAGCTAAACTAAAGGAGGTAGAAGTTAAAGAGAAAGATAAGTCGGTCTAAATATCTATAAAACTCTATAACAAGTTTAATAAGTTTAATAAGTATCTAAAACTACTATATTATGCTATTAGGAAGGCCTATAACTAAAGTGCATAAGATTATAGATTATTTAAAGAATAGCGGTTCTGCTTCTTTAATACTTGCTATAGTAGCTCCTCGATAGCTATACTATACTAACTTATTAGCAGTAGGCCTTCTAATCCTCTCGACCTAGAAGTGCAAGAAGCAATAGGTAGAGTTAGCCTACTCTAAGGTTAGAACTGCGCATAAGCATAAAGTGCTCGCACGATTTGCAATCCTCCTTAACGTCTCTATTATATATAAGGGTAACGTACAACTAGCTAAAGCACTCTAGGGTCTATATAATAAGGTTCTATTATAGCTATATAGAGGCTAGGTATTTATTAGTAGTAGAAGTCTTCTCTTGCAAGATAGGAACTACTACTAGTTTGTTAGCAGTAGGTTTATTACTAGTTAGAGGCAAGTTGCGCTTCTGCTTTAGTAGCAGGGGTAATAGAAGGCGATAACTAGCTCTAGCTTAGCTAGGTATCTAAATAAGTCTTACACGCACTATAACCCCTCTTATAGCTTTAACTATAATAGCAGCTAAATTAATATCTATTTAGTTATAATAGTACTAGAGGAGTTATACTTAGCTAAGGTTACTAGAGCGCAGATAGAGGGCAGAGAGGTCGAGGTGTTTAGAACTAGATCTCTAAATCTTAATAATAGACTAGAGAGAAGTAGACTTAAACTAAATAAAGGCTATAGACTACTTTTAAAGGTAGGCGTCTAGGTAGTTATATTCTAAGGGGCGTTCCTAACTATACCGTATTTTTTTTAGCCTAGCCGATATGACGCGCGCGATCGGGCCCGATCATCGCCAGACTAGGTCTAGCGCTAGGGTTGCGCGTCCAAATCGGGCCCGCCGTAGGGGGCGAACATCGCGCCTTCGACCCCCGATCATACCCCCAAGCTGCGCTGCTTGCGCGACGTGTTCCATACAAAACCTGCCGAGAATCATCTGCTCTATCGCGCCCCAGCCTTTGTTTCTGCATTTCTCGGCTTGCGTTGCTGCACTTGGGGTCATCTTAGGGTTTCTTAGGGTTAACTCGCCAAGCATGGAGCTCTGCTGGAACGCGCAGCCACCCGCAACGCCAACCGCAGCGCAGCACCGCAAGCGACCGCGTGCGAGCAAGATAACAGTCAGCAACGTGCAAGAGCGCTTCTGCTACCTCCAGCGCTATCAGGTGCTAGTCTGCAGGGAGCACGCTACCGGCATACAGAACGTCGATGTGCACCTGCGCGACCAGCACGGCGTGGCGAGCAAGGAGAGGGAATGCATCGTAGAGCACTGCCGGCAATGGCGGATCGCCGCGCCGCGAGATGTTGAGCTGCCCGCGCCGCTGGGGCCGCCGATCGAGCAGCTGGGCGAGCCGTTGGACGTCTATCGATGCAGGATCACCAGCGACTGCGGCTTCTGCACCGCGAACAAGAGCAGGATGCAGAAGCACTGCAGCAACGCGCACCAGGCGGCTTGGAGCGGCAAAGACGTGTACTTTACTAATAATAACCTAGTATATCTCATACACTAAGCCTAGCCATCCAGCTATAAGAAGAAAAAGCTATGGTAAGTAATAAAGCTAATAGAGGTACTAGTGGGGTCAGGGCTAGAAGACTGGTAAGGCGACATTTGAAGAAAGACGCTCCTTATCGAGCACAGTGACTAACGCGGTAGGAGTAGGAATTCGCATGGAGCACAAGGGGGTAAGCAATCAATTGCTTCAAGAGTTGCAATGGGTTCAAGTAGTGCAGGGGAATTAAGATAGCCTGCAGAACAGCGATCTGAGGCTGCAGAGCCGCGAGGAACTTCTGCATAGATGTTGAGAACCAAGAGGCTTACGCAAAAATGCAGTAGGGTTTCTAAGGTTAGTATTTCGCAGCTATAATAGTATTTAGATAGAGCGTTGTAGTACAATTGTAAGAGATGTAAGGTGACTAATGCCTAGAATAGAAGTATACTGCGTCTCTCATCTCTTGCACACTGCGTCTCTTATCTCTTGCACACTGCGTCTCTTATCTCTTGCACACTGCGTCTCTTATCTCTTGCACACTGCAGGTCCTCCCTTGTGCCTCAACATCGATATCTAAAGTCTTCTTCCCTTGATCTTACCTCTAGCTGTGCCTTCCAGGGCCAACCACCTATTAAATTGCCTCACCGCAAGGTAGATGTCTAGGAGCTCCCCCCTTACTGGTTTCATGAGGACGTCGACGCTTCAGGAGCGAACGTAGTGCTAGATTCAGGTCTTTGGGATGGTGCTGTCCGACAGAATTAGGAGGAAGCCCAAGTTCAGGCCCTTATCCCAGTCCCATGGAATACTGATATCTTTGCTAGGGACCATACTGTCAGGAAGCAAATCAGTCGATGGGCGGCATCGCGGAGACCGACTGGCAATCTGAATCAACACAGGTCGGACCGAGATGAAACGCACAGCTGTGGCAGTGTGGATCGTTGTGCCTGAATGCATCGCGAAATGGCTTCCTTCTCTATGTCAGGATCAGTACCTGTTGCGCAAAAGGTGTACATACAGGGGAAGGTACTCTGCAGTCAAGCGGAATCTCAGCGGTGCAAGCAGTAACAGTTATAGTCTGCAGTTTGGGAGGTCTGAGGGATCGTAATACTCCTAGCCGTTGATCAGCAGAGCGGCGCCCTGCTTGTAAACCAGGAGGTCAGTCCCCTCTATATGATTGTAGAACATCAGTCGAGCTTCGGGCGCAGACTGCAGTTGCTGGGATCATAAGCCTCCCAGCGCAGCACAAGGCACGGTCGGTGCCTACAGCGTCGCAAGGAGGTGGCGGAGCCAGCGCTCGGATTTCTACACGGAGAAGGCACAACTAGCGCTCAGTCATGTCAAGTGGAAAAAGTGCGACTGAAAGCAGGAACTGTGAGGGTGAAACGTGGCCAGAGCCGTACTATACTGCAGGTTACTGCGAACTTTCTACTCCATCTCTCTTGGCAGTGCCCAGTCTGCAACTGAGCCCTGTTCGCAACTGAGCCCTTCTTGCGTGTGAGCAGGGGGCGGTATGCTGCATCTACGCGAGGGAACTGCACCTGATCGGATCGTTGGCCCTGGTCCCGCTCCTAAACTGGACCCTAGGCCCTCTACTCCACGTTCTTCTGTGTTAGGGAGACTGCACCACGAACTCGGCCGTGAATACAGACTACTCGAGTCATCGCTAGGGCTCTTCCACAGCCGTAACGCAAGCAAACGTTCCTGCTCCCATTCCATTGAAGCGGCGTATAAAGGTCGAGGCCAAGCACTTTCCAAGTCTAGGCTAAGTCGTCTTGTGGGCTCGCATTTCCACCGGAAGGGGCTTCTACAATCTACTGGCGACTCGTCTATGGCAATAGGCTGCTCTTGTATATGGAGGTACGGCGTGCGCACAGCTTCTAGCGCCTCTGTGCCTTGTAGAGCTTGGTGCGCGCTGCATGTTGCGCTCTGACTGGCTCGTTTGGGGTGAGCAACCCAGTGGCCATGAACCTGGCTGCTACGCGCAACGCTGTTATATGCTATTGCGCATCCAAACGAGCTGACAGATGCTTTCGATATGTGCAGGTCCTTCTTAGGCACAGGTGGTGGATTCTGGCGGTGTCTGATAGGCGTTCTATCCTGTTTCCTCAGCCTTCTATGTTGGGATATAAGAAGTGCTGCACACAGAAGGAAAGCAACAGCTATAAAGACCAAAGAAAGCGTCACGTAGAGCGACAAGCGGAAGGCTGGTGGAGTAGAAGTGGAATTTGACATCGTAGCAGGCATTGTTGAGGCTTTGCCTGCGGGTGTAGTGACGTGCGGCGAGGGAGCGGTCATTGTGCTGCAGAGGAGGAAGGACAGACTAGAGTCAAATGCAGCCCTTGGGAAGAACTCAAGAGTAGTATTGGTGATTCTCTTAGAATGTTGCTGGCAATACGACGCAACCACAGGTCTGTGCAGTTGCTGCGCTTAGGGAGACAGTCTCCGCAGACACTGCGCCCCCTCGGTCCTTCTCGCGACACCAGGTCTTCTACGCCAGGTTATCTAGCAAGTTACAAGAAAAGATCGCAGGCACAGCATCGGGGTTCAAGGAGAGAGGCGTAGGCGGCGTATTGGCCCCACGCACAGGACGCGTAGCCGGCGCTTAGGGAACGCGAGAAGCATAGTGGCGCAGCAAAAGGGCAGAAACGTCTTTATGTCTGAATATGGTCTCTTGCGCTATTGCCCTGCTACTTTGTTTGCATACAATCCTTAGGGAGTTTCTTTGTCTTCTCTCTGTCTTGCAGCGAGAGAGAGATCGCCGCAGAAGACTAGAGGAAGGCCGGTTGAGAGCTTGTCGTAGAAGCCTGGAGACCTTTGTCCCTCCTGCTGTTCCTTTGTCTTATCCCGCTCAAACAACCTGGGTCTGCGTAAGCTACTTCAGGCGGCGGACATTCAAATAACACATTGCACGTGCACTTATAGTATCTGGAGCAATATACTACAGTTTGGCAGGACACGTGTTGTTTCCAAACAGCGATAGTAATACAAAACAATCCAAAAGGTAGCATTGACTTTCTAAATTGCTACTGCTGGAACAATAGCAGCGCTTGTCCACTATGCATCTCTACGCTGCTACCTCCTCAGCCTGCATCGCCGCTCGGGATGGTACGGGGCCCGAGATAGGGACGAAGACAACCTTGCTACCCTGCGCTGCGGCGCTTTGTCTGCGTGAGTGCTGACTGATATAATAAGCGTCATAGCAAACACCATTGTTAGGATCGGCGCTGAAAGCCAGCTGTTAGTGTAATGCCTTTGTCTCTATCTGCATTGGGGCACACGTACTTGTATTCCACATTGCCCTCCCTGCGAAATCCTCCATGCTTCTTGCAACCATTTACCTCTCGGGTAAGATATGCGTCGATCTCGTTCTCCGTCACTTGCTGCTCTGAGTCCGTCATGCTCCGAATGCCAAAGTACCACTGGCTGCCGTTTGCAGTGTCTGTAACGCAGGTTCCACGCTCCTGTCTTCCCACAAGCGTGCCCTGTAGGAACTTGGCAACATTTCGAATGTTATTGTGTGCTAGTTGGGTGTTTGTGTTTCGGATTTCGTCATTGTAGCACTCAGCAGAAGCCAAGGGGAGAAGGAGAGGGCTAAGGAGGACGACGGCTTCGTAGAAACGCATCTTTGTTGGGAGCAGGGTACAGTAGTAGTCAAGACGGGCGAATCAAGGCTTAGGTCTTTAGAGACTGTGGAAGTAGAAAGGACTTTGTTTGTTTATTTTTGAATTGGGGGATGTCTCCTCTTATACAGCAGTGCTCTGAACAGCTTCCGCCCAAGTCAGCCTTAACAGCGCCTAGGGCGCAACAAGGAAATTACAGGACTAGTCGCCTTTCTCGTTCCTTTTCTCGGGGATTGTTGATATTGTAACCATGCTAGGGTGTTGCGGTGTTGCAGTGCTGCCTGCTTACTGCTGTCTCACTCTGCCGCACTGTGCCTCTTTTTGTTGCTTGACCGCTCAACTCTAGGCGACAAGTGTTCACAACACCGAATATATCTGATACAAGCTACAAGCTACGCCGTACGTCCAGGAACAGGGTACAGACAATGCCGCTGCACAAGCTTGTGCCTGGAGAAGACACAGCCACACAATCTGTCTGTGATGGCTAGCATAAGTCCGCTTCTAGTATAATATGTAGTATAAAGCTTTAACAGCCGGCAAGTCGAGACAACCAGATCGTCTACGTCTTCATCCTACTACCAAAGGCCTTGTTTTGCGCCTACAGTCAGCATGAAGCTTCTCCCAATCTTCACCAGCGCAATGTACCTAGCCATTGGCGGTTGCAGCCCACTTTTGTCTACAGCGTTCAGCACAGATCCAAACGAGGCCTTGTTGTCTACTCAATCTATAGAAGGAGTAACCAAAGCAGCGCAGTACGAAGACGTCAATTTGACAAAACGAATGGAATGGTCTCAGATCAGCATCAGCGCAGCTTGTGTACGTGCATAAAAAACATCCTGTACTGCACCTTTGCTAACCTTCCCTACGTAGCAAACGTGCGTTGTAGCTCAGGCAGCATCTCTAGGTGTAACCTACGTCTTTCGACGAGGATCAATACCAACTAGCGTCTTCCCATCTTTTGCTCTGTAAGTGCAAGCTCCTCAGGCATTTGTTCCCGCAAGCTTACCCTACTACGCAGGGCGCTATCAAACTGTTATTCGTTTTGTGATACGCGAGTGACAGCAGAGAATTTTGACAGTCATTCAAAGACCTGGTCGGAGGCATCATGGATTGCTTACGTGACAGGCGGTTAGGCTATCTTTAGTCTTCTGAGGAACAGGAGGCTGACTAGGCGAAGGAAGTGCGTGGTAAATTCAGTTAAAAGGCAGGCGACTATCTAAGCTTAGCAGGTAGGCAGGCGTACGCTCGCTACACTAGAAGGCAAGCAGACAAGGTGCCCTGAAGTATTCAACCAAGACATCAAGCATTTGTCTCAGACCATTTGCATTTCCACAACCACGTCCAGTATCCCGGCACATGCACTGCCTCCACTATCCCAAATGGTGTGATGACCGCATCGCGCACTGGCCAGTGTGAGTGGAAAAGATTGTTGCGCGCGATCTTGAGGCGTCCAGTGATTCTATTCACTGTTACTCGAAGCGCATGGAGAGAAGCTTGCGTGTGGAAATAGTTAGACTGCAGCAGGTACATGTTGCCGTTATCCCACTCTTGAACCAACTGGAAGCGTATGACACGCTCCACTTGAAAGGGAAAGTGGCTGTTAGGGAACTCGTCTAAGTGATTGCTTGTTACATCACTGTTGTCGCCCCCAACTCCATCAAATCGGATCTGTGTTCCAACGTTTAGGCTGCTGTACCCCGTCCATTCATCATCGGTAAAGAATGTGGGCTCAGTCATAGTGCGGAGATGGCAAGTGCTAAATTGTTCAAGTCCATCTGACGCAAAGGGTGCGGGTTAGCTCACAGAGCGTGGGCAAGGGGATTGTACAGGTAGCTGGCGGCGGCGAAAGCCCAGCCACGCTTCCAGTGCATGTAGCATTAGCTGCGCAAGCCGCCCAACACAGTCCATTCCCTATCCCTACTGAGGGTGACGAGTGAGAGGCCTATCCAATATGAGGTGACGAATGAGAGGCCCTTATCCATATGAGGTGACGAGAGAGGCCCTACCAATATGATTGTGACGAGAGAGGCCCCTTCTAGCAGACAAAATTAGCTTAAGATCGCTAGCGTTAGGGGTTCGCACTAAACTTAAAGGAAGGCAGACTCGTCAAACTTTCATGTACCCAATCATCAGAAACAAAGCCCCTGCACAGCAATTTCGCTCATACAAAGTCGTTCTTGTACGCGTCTGCCTATTGCGCCCGGTATGTTGTTTTCAACAAATAAATCTACGATACAGCAGGGTTAGGGTAAAATTGGGGTTAACTAGGGCTCACGAGGAAGCTAATGGGGACAGCCGTC